GGGGGGGGGGGGAGGTGGCCGGGACTTTTCCCCCCCGCCAGTAAAAAAAAATGGGGAGAGGGGTTCACTCCCTGATGGCGGCGCGGTAGCGACGTCTTGCCAACATGATGGGGGGGGGAGTTGGATTCCGGTCCTAGTCTGTCGCAACAAAAACAACCAAAGAGTCGTATCGGGGCGCCTACAAAACCGAGAGATTTTGTTTTGCAGAAGCTGGGGCGGATCGGGGCCCCCCATCAGTACTTGCCTCGGACGAAGCGGGCTAACCCCCCTCCCTATTAAAAAGTGGCCCGTTTTTAAAGTGCCCCCCCCCGCGACCCTTTGTCGTTCAAGGCCCACGGAGGTCATGCTTCTTATTGCTTCAGATTTATATAAAATCTTTCTATCCCGGCTTTTTAAAGGACCCAAGTCGGAGGGAGAAGAAGGGTCGTCCCAAGTTCGCTGCGCTGGCGGCGCGCCCGGGTCTCTCCAGGCTTGCGCCGAATTAAATCTCATTGGAGTTCCGTCGAGTTTACTTTAGGAATGCCTGAGACGGAAAGNTGGCCCAAAGCCCTGAAGTTTATGATATGTTTTCCTTCGTGGGTTTGCTGGTCTCCCCTCCTCCACAACCACCTTAATCTTGAGCTGGCCTCCAGCAACCCCCCCCTCCTTCCCTCCCTTGAAGTGACTTCATTTCCTTTGGAGCCCCCAGTCAGATCCAAAGAAGCTGCTCTTGATGAGTCAGGGTCTGCCTGGGCCTCTTCTCCACCCCGCCACCCACCCATTGGCCTGCCTGAACCAGCGGCAAGAGTCTCTGACTCAGAATTTCCTCTTGAAAAAGATGAGGAAGTTTGTGCTTTCCACATTTTTTTTTTAAAAAAGAGACCCCCACAGTTTAGACTGGCCCAAAAACAATTTTTGTTCCTCTTGGTTTTCTAATAATGGGATTTCATTCCTAACAGGAATGGTGACATTCAGAAGATCAAGAATACAGTAATGTAATTTTTAAAATAATACAGTTATCTGAATTATACATGCAACATTCCCAATGTATAACTATGCTCTTGATCTCTTTCCCATCCCTAGTATGTGATGGCCTTTATAGACATAGATTAATTTCCTCCTACAAAGAATTCATGGAGACCTTGTGTGTTTCCGTCTCATCCTAGAAGTTTACTAGATGTTATCTGAAGAACTGCTGTAGCTTTCCTGTTGTCTCCTGCAGTATTCAGATCAGCAAGAAAGACATACAGAGTGTGTCCATTACACTAGATGTAGCCCTGGTGGAACAGTTCCAAGATAACCATTATGTGCCAGATCCGTTCCAACTCACAGCCACTCTCCAATGGTTTTCTGCAGAAAAAGTCCTGTGAAGTACATCAGTGGTCCCCAACCTTGGGCCTCCAGATGTTCTTGGACTACAACTCCCAGAAGCCTACACCACCACCTCTTCGGCCAGGATTTCTGGGAGTTGAAGTCCAAGAACATCTGGAGGCCCAAGGTTGGGGACCACTGAAGTACATGACCAGACCCTCCTTTTGATGGCGCTCTGGGACGTTCAGCTTGCCCAAGGCCACACAGGTATCTCATAATAATCTCATCAGCCATGCATGCTAGTCCAAATGATCTTGGTTAGCCCCTCTTCCAACAGGCACAGTGTAGATTCAAACTCCCAGTCCCTGGAGCTGCAGCCAAGCACTCCAACTCACTGAGCTGTGTCAGCTCAAAGATACTTTGGAGAAAAGCACAGAACAGAGAAAAGACAACCATGGTGTAAAAACAAATGGCACCTTCTATGGCCCTAAGAATGTTGCCATATCTCACCAGGTAGCAGGGTATTTAACCCTATCATGTCCCAGTCAATCTTTTTTTTCCCCTGCTGTTTTTTTTCTTTCTTTTTTATTACAACTACAAACACACATCTAAAATACAATACAAACACCCCCAACCCTCCCCCCCCTTTGAGGACAGAGATTCAGACCTTCTTGCATTCCAACTTTCTCAAAATCCAGTGAGCATTGAAAGAAAAAAAAAGAAAAACAAAGCCCATCAATCATTTTGCCCAATCTTCAAGTCTGTCTCTGGGCTGAAGCATGTATTAAGTTCCAACTTTGTTTTGCATAGTCTCTCGGTTGATCTCGTAGTGCTTCTGATAATACATCTAGTTCTGTAATGTCCAACAGCTTCTTTAGGAGCGCCTCCCTTGTAGGTACATCTTTACTTTTCCATTTTTGGGCCCAGAGTAACCTAGCTGCTATCAATATATACATCAAAAAATATTTGATTTTCTTATCAGTAATTTCTGGCATAATATTTAATAATGCTATTTCAGGTTTAAAAATTAATCTTTTTTGAATGATTCCTTTTATCATTTCCCACAACTGTAACCAATAAACCCTGGCTTTTTCACATGACCAGCACATATGGTAATAAGTTCCTACTTTTTTTTTTACATTTCCAACAGATATTACTGCTACCTTCTGAATTTTTTTTCCGATTTTATAGGAGTATAATGCCATCTATAAAACATTTTGAGGATATTTTCTCTTAGATTTACTGGCTTGATCATTTTATAACAGTCTTTCCACATCATCGTCCAGTGATCAATGTCAATATTATAGCCAAAGTCCCTTGCCCATTTTATCATTGTCTGTGTCCCAGTCGATCTTGAGTGACTCATTTGCCAGATGGTGAAGTGAGGGATTCAAACCTCCAGGCCCTGTCTCTGCAGCCAGACACTCCAACACATGAAAATATACCAGCTCTGTGCGACCAGTTACGGATACATAAACATAATTTTGCCTGTTGGGGTTGGCTGAACTGAGAGGCCACAGTTTTCTGTGACTCATGATGCAACACCAAGAGGAAGTGAAGTAGGTTTTTTGAGGGCTGAGGCAAAGAGGGAGGGGATAGTGATGACGATGGTGGTGGTGATAGCTCTGCAGAAGGCCTGTGGAAAAGGATAGATACATGTGGGGTTGCAAGCTAGATCTCCCAGCAGGGCAACTGCACCTGGGCAGTGATTTGATGGACAACACAGTGGAAAGTTCAGCTCTCTGCTGGGAGCATTTTAACCAGGGGCATCATTTTCTGATGTGAAGCATGCAGACGTCCTGAAGCCTGGCTGGAACAAGTAGATTAACCACTCTAATTGGGAAGGAGGGGCGACAGCACTTTAATTAGTGCTATCAGACATGGGCTGGATATTCCTGTGTGGAGCAAAGAACAGGATGGATCCTATACCCGTAGTAAACAAGCAGAGATATAGACAGAATATGTATCCTCTGGACATACAGTAAGTGCATAGGAAGTGCCTGTGGGAAGAAGTGAAACTGAAAAGAGGGAAGGGTGTCACCTGAGAGCCCCACCCCCAGGAAGAAAGAGGGAACTGCCGTAACTGAAGCTCTGCTTCTTCTTTCCAGATTGTAGTAAAACACCATGCATGCATGCATGCGCTTGATCTCTGTAGATCCAAACAGTAATTCTGCAAAACAAATATGCCAGGAGTTGCAAAGGCTGGAAGAATCCTTATGTGTGGGAGATTCTGTTCTGTGTTCTTAAAGGAATAGACACATGACAATGTAACTCACAGAAGACACTGTACTCATATACAATGCAGGGGGTGGGGAGAAACATATGAGACTGTCACAGCACACATTGCACCAGAACCTAATCCAGCTGCGGGAGGTCTCCATCCAGCCTGCAAAGGGCCTTCCCCTAAACCTGCCTTCCAGGCCACATCCACTGGATTGAGGATGCTTTACTATGCACCCCTGACAATCCTACTGATATCACTGATCGTTGATTGGAGATGATAAGTAACTTTCACCCAACATTTTTGTTCACCTTGTAATTGAGAGGGCCAGTGGTGTTGGAGGACGGGGTATCTAGCATTTTCTGCAGTAAGATATTAGAGATAGCAGTGGGTGGTCTTTCATGGCCCCATCTTCCCCAAAGATGGACCAAAAAAATCTGCATCAGACATAGTAGCTATAGGAACACACAAGGTGGCTTCACTTGCCCTTTAACTTAGCTTCCAAGGAGCCACCAGTGTCATACAGTGTAGCCACATCTCTGATCATGGCTACACTTCTGGACATCATCTGGGCCCCTGAAGGCTCAGGAGACACTGATCAGAATTAATTATATAAAAGTGCAGAATAAAAATTAAAAGTTAAAGACAAAAATGTGGTGGCAAAATCCAATTATTTATGGTTATTATAAGTCCAGTGGCACAAAATGCAACTGTGAATTTCTGCTAATTAAGGAGTTGATGCTTGTGTGCTTGTGTCAAATCCATCACTACTGGCAATTTGAAACAGTAGTTTATGCCATTGCACTTACACTGCCATGCACAAGTAACAAGATTCTGGGCTAGACAACCAAATAATAAAGACCCCAAGTCCTGTATTACAGCAGAGATATGGGCAATGGGAGTTGGCCCATCAGGGCAAGCAGCATGCCTGCCCCACCTCCGGCTATGCCTAGCCATCCCATTCCTCCCTGTTTCTTTACCAAAGGGGGAGAGTCTGTATCCTCTTCTTGCTGAACTAGGACAATTTCTGGGGGAGAG